CTCCATCCACTCTCCTTGATAAGTCGGGGATGGACAGAACCCCCACCCTGACACGTCGATCAGCGAATTGTCTGTTTTCGGTTCTCGAGAGGGTGCCGCGGCCGTCATTTTCCAGGCTCGCGCCCGCCAGGTTTGGGTTCGAGGTCGTTTTCACTAAACCATGTTTAGCTAAAGGGGGTTCTGTCCATTTCCGAATGAACGATCATCCCGAGTGAAGGGATCATCCCGAGCTGAAGGATCACCCGTCCATCCCGAGTCAAAGATCGTCCCCCCAGGGCCCAGGGCCCCCCCCGCAGGCGGGAGCCCGTTTGGAATCTTGTGGGGGAGGGCGTTCGGACCGCGCGCCCGCTGGTGCGGCTGCCGGGGTCGGGCGCGGAAGTCTTCGTTGGTCTTTCGGGTGGTGTTGGGGCTTTGGCGTGGCGTTCGGAGTAAGTCGGGCGTGTCCCTCTAGAGGAGGAATGTTCACAAATAAGCACAACATAATCAGGGGACGGTTTTTTTAATATTGTTTAATTATGTGTGAGCATTTGTTTGGTATTTGTCTTGCTTTCCCTCCAAAATCCGCCTGTAGGGGAACACGCCCGACCCAACGCTAGGAGGAGTACTTCCGAACCTGTGAAAAGGAGAGAGGATCGGTACGATCGAAACGGGCACGGAAATAATGGGCACGAAGACCGACAACAGTCCTGCTCGTTTTGAGCAGGACTCGCTGTCGGATTCGCCGCGCAGTTGTCCATCTGAGACAGGAGGCCGCCTGCCCAACAGCGGCCACTGTCGGCCTTGCTGGAAAAACATTCCGTGGTGGGCAGATTGCCCATGTTTGTCCGAACCCTTTTCGGGCGTCCACGAGAGAGGAGCAGTAGGGCGACGGGTGACGAAGAGACGCGAGGGTGAAGGATCGTCGAGGACAGACGAGGGAGACGAAGAGAGGGAAGGGGGGGAGGAGGAAGGAGGAGGGGAGATCGATGCCGAGAGGGCTGCCGCTGCCAACGTAGCGGAGTCAGCTGAAGGCGGTTCGGAATCGGATGTTCAGGGAGCAGTTTGAAGTCTCCCACTTCGATTTCGAGATGATATGTTTAGTGTTCAGTCGGGCCCGTCCCTCTACAGAAGGAGTATTCAAAATAGTAAGACAATATAGTCTAGGGACCATTTTTGAGTATTGTTTGTCCATTTTGGAATCTGTTTTAGTATTTTTTATGTTTCGTCGAAAATCCCCCTGTAGGGGGACAGGCCCGACTTAAGCTTAGTGCTTTCTGGCATTTCGACGGCTTGCCCACTGCAGAGAAGCGACGCGAAGGAGGAAGGGGGTCGACGGGGGGCGAAGAGCATCGAGGGGGCGAGGAGGAGGAGGATAGAGGAGAGTGTTCGGGACAGCGACGAGGAGGAGGACGGACCCCGCCCACCGTGCATCGCGGCATGGCTCTGACGCGAGCCTTCCTCCCCCCCTGCTCTGCCCTGTTGCGGCTCCTCTCCTCACCCGGGAGGAGGCGAGGCATCGCAGGAGGGCGAGTTGATACAACGGTAGCTGATCTTCGGGGGGCGGGGGCCCACGTCGCCACGGCTCGACGCAGGACGCAAGACCCTGGGAGGCGTTCGGGGGTCGAACTTGAACTGCCGTTGTCTCAGCTCGCCCTGCTCTGCTGGCAGCAGCGAGCAACAGGGGGAGGGTAGGGCTTATTCCGATTCCTTCGATCCGGTTCGATTCGACTTGGGATTCCGATTCGGGCTCCGATTTCTCAATGGAGGCCCATTCGCCTGCCGATTGCCGCCGGTCCGACTTTTCCCGACCTGGCTGCCGACTTCCGCCGATCCGATGTGTTTCGATTGCCGACCCGACTAATCGATTCGATTCTGGGCTCTCTTGGGAGGGCGTTGGAGGCACCTGCATGGCGGGGGAGCGCCTGGGAGCGCCAGCGATCGTTCGCGAGCGGGAGCGTTTGTTAGCGACCTGGGCAGTTCGGTCGCGTTTGAGCACGCGCGCGATGCGCTCTGTGCAGGCGCACGAGCTCGCCTTCTGAGCTGCTCGTCGTGGCCTTCGGCTTTGAGTTGCGCCGCGGGGCTGCCGCAGGCGGATGGCTCGAGGAAGTGCGGGCGTGGACTCTGGCGCGCGGACGAGCGACTGGCAGCCTCCAGGCAAGATCGACGCGCTCCGTCGCCGCGTCGGGCGGCATCTGCCTACCGTTAAGTCGGGCCTGTCCCTCTACAGGAGGAATTTCAAAAACAGCGAAAATCCTACGGGATTGATTTTTGTTGATTATCGTGGACCATTCTGGAGTATGTTTTAGCCATTGTTGTTTTCGCGCAAAATCCGCCTGTAGGGGGACATGCCCAACCTAAGAAACGCTTCAGGGTATATATATATATATATATATACATATATATACTTCCCCAGTCCATGGATCTGGCGCCAGTGCGCCAGATCCACTGATCTCTCGTCCAAAGAAGCGTGTCTGACGGACAAAAGGAGGAGACGGGGGACGGGGGGCGACAGGAGGGGGCTGAGGAGCAGGGTGGTGCCTGTGTTGCCGACGCCGTGCAAGGACAACCCTTTCGTGCTGACCTTCCCGGAGTACCAGGCGTGATTCCCACCGCCATTTTCGCCCGAGCTCCCGCTGAGTTCGAATCCTGCTGCGACTTCCTACGCGAGCTTCGAGCCAAGAAAGACCCCGCTTGCCTCCAGGGTGCTCTGGATTTCTTCGGTTTCGATGATTCTGCTGTGGAGGGCGCGATGCGTCCACGCCAAAAACCGATGGACGTCCTGGGGTCTCAGGGTCAGGGCTGGACATAAACGCTGTTTTGCTGGACTTCGGCTGCGTTTTGTTTGTCGTTGTGGCAGGGAGGTGCAGGAAAACGGGTAGAGCTTCACGAACAGCACAACGAACACAATACGAACAAACAACGTTTGGGTCCAGCCCTGCTCAGGGTTGGGTTCATTGTGGAAGGTTTCGTGTAATGCATTCGTTGCCCAGGCTCGCCGTGGTCAGGAAAGCCCTTCGCGTGCCTTACTCAGCGCTCCCCCATTGTGGCAGCACGAGCACTGTGGAGGAGAGCGAGGAGAAGGGGCCGTGAAGCAGGGCGAGCGTCGAGGGGCATGTCCTTCTACAGGAGGAGTATCCAAAAATAGTCAAAACAGCCTGGGGACGAAAATTCCCGACCTAAGTCGAGCGTGCCGCTGTTCGTTGCGTCGCTTCTCAGGGACCCTTGCGCGGGAGGGGAAAGAGCATCAATGGCACGGTGCCTTCGGGTGCCCGTCAGCGTGTGATTATGTTGCCATTGCCCGACAGCGCTCTCTGCTTCCCCAGCGGTAGCATGATGATGGGTCTACCACCGCGGCGTGTCGTTGATACTCGTTTTGCTCCCTAATTTGCTCTCCTCCGCGCCACTACACGCCAGTCGTTGAAAGTAGGTACTTGTGGATTCCCAGATCCTACTCTACTCCAAGCGCCTTCCTACTGCAAGAGTCGGGAAGGTTTTGCTGGTTTGTGCTATTCTCTGGACGGGCCCGAACCCAGTTGATTTGATCCGCCTACTTACTTCATGATTCCACGTACTTGTTTCGACGGGCGGGCATCCCCGTCCTCGCCCCTGTCTGTATGCGTCTCCCTCTGCCCGCCCGCCTCTGCGCCCGTGCCGCCCTCTGCCTTTTCGGGCCGTCTGAACGCTCTTACCGTCGAAAACGATAGTATGGATGGGCAACCTTCCGAAGGCCACCCTTGCATGCTTGCCTCTTCGGTCTGTCCGCAACAGCTGTCGACTGCCGGCCCCACTTCGAAGAGCCTCGGCATGGGCGCCCAAGGCCCTTGCATCCGTACTGCGCCTCTGTACTATCAGTTTTGACTCGACCACCCTCGAGGGTAGGTCCGCGGGGGACGCGCACCGCCCGAGCAGATGCGGCGACAGCACGGCCACGCTGCCTGGCGGGGTCGCGTGGCGTCATGATGGCGCCGTTTTTCCTTCCGTCCGTTCCTTCCCGTCATCCTGGCTCTCCTCCCCTTCCCCCCTCCCTCCTCCCCGCCTTCGCCCATCCTTCAGGGACGCCTTGACCGACCCCTATAGGAACATCATCGCCTTTCGCGACGTCCCCCTCGCTACGCCCCAAGACGTGTGTATGCGGCCAGAGAGGATCTTGGTTGGCTAGGCTTCGGTTAGGCCGTGCCCGAATCCCATCCCCGGCTCTCCTCCCCTTTCCCCCCGCTCCTCCCCCCGGCCCTCGCTAAGCCTCGCCCCCAGCCCCTCCCCGCCCCTCCCCCCAGGAGTGCCGAGAATTCCTTCAAAAAAACAAGACTTCGAGAGCGAACCAATCCTACGACGGCGTTGACCACAAGGACGACGACGACGACGACGACCTCGACGATTGGACGACGGCGGCGGCGGCGGCGGCGACGACGCGCCCAGCGTCGCAAAGCCACCCTGGCCCTCGCGAAACAGCACGCGTGACTGCCGAATGAGGCGCCCCAGAAACACGCCGCGCCGCGCCGCGCCTACTGCTGGCCTGTCCTGTCCCCGCCGCTCGCTTCGTCCTCTTTTTGGCAGCTCTGCCCCTTCCTGGCGGTCTCCTGTCCCTCAGTCCCTGGGCCCCTCCCCAAAATCAAATTTGGCCGCACAGAAGAGAGGGCACACCCCAGGGATGCACCCCTTTGGGGGGGAGCCAGACGCATCCCCATCGAGGATGGGAGCCCCCCCATCGTACATCTCCGAGTTGGGCCCGATCTGTTGGTGCATTCTGGGCCTCGGGCGCGAGTCGTGCGGCAGCAGCAGGCAGGAACAGGATGAAGCGGGGAGGAGGAGATGGGGAGTCCACGACAAGGATGGAATGAGGTGTCCGAGGCGGAGGGAGTGGGAGGGGAGGAGGCCTGAGGAGAGGAGAGGGAGACAAAGGAAAGGGAGGGAGGGCGAGGGGGGGAGAGGGGAAGGCTTACCCTCGTCCGGCTGTGCAGGCCTTCGCGCTCATCAAGCTGCCCCTGCTTCGGAAGCTCGACGACATCGCCACGACGGCGGAGATGGCCAAGATGCGGAAGGTCGCCAAGCAAGAGGCCCCGCCCTCTGGCGTCTTCCTCGACACGCTCGCTCGCCCCCCATCCGAACCCCCCGTCTGCCGCGCTCGGCGGGCCCCCCCCCGTCACCTCGGAGGGAGGAGAAGCGACGCCAACACCACCAGGAAGGGCCACCTCCAGCGAGGAGGTCCGCGACGCCTCCCCCGAGCCAGAGGCTGGGGATGTCTCGAGCGAGCAGCGAGAGGGGGGACCACGCCACCAGGGAGACTCCCCTTGCTCCTCGCACCTCCCCGCCCTGGTGGTGCTGGCGTCGCCTTCCGTTGTTCATATCACCCGGGGGGGAATTGGGGGGTGGGGGCGTGGGCGGGAGGCACAGGAAGTCCACATCCACAGCCTCGCGGGGTGGCGGGGCCCGTGGGCCGCGACGCCCCGTGGGTGCGCGGGGCGTGCGTCCGCGGACGCCCCGTGTTGGGGGCGCACCCGCGCGACCGCGCACCCGCGGGACCGCGCCCCGGAGTCGGAGTCCGGGCCGCGAGGGCGTGGAGCTGGACAGGTGTTCTTCGCCGGTGATCTCCCGTGCTCCCTGATGGGGCCGTTTTCCACCATCAACTGGAGGGGGAGGGGGGCCTCCTCCTCCTCCTCCTCCTCAGTTTTACCCTGCGGGGCAAAAACCAAAAAAAGAAACAAAAACTCCTCCTCCTCCTCCTCCTCCTCCTCCTCCTCCTCCTCCTCCTCCTCCTCCTCCTCCTCCTCCTCCTCCTCCTCCCTCCCCCCTCCAATTTCTGGTGCTGGTGGTGGAAAACAGGCCCATCACCCCCGTCGCCACCAGGGAGGAGAGGGGGAGGAAGGCGTGAGGGCACGTGGCAGGTCAAGTCGTGGATCACGGAGGAGTTCGCTCTCGTCTTGGATTGAGCGCATGTCGGCGAACAGGGCCCCATAGCGCTCCATTGCGCCAGATAGCGCCCTGCAGCGCCCAGTAGCGCCGACCTGCGGCCAGGTCTCCACTGGCGCCAAACAGCGCCCAAGAGTCAATAACGCATGTGAGCGAGATGCGCGCGGATGGGCGCGCTCTTGGGCGCCACCTCCACACGGACGACCAGTAGCTTCCGTGCGTTGCCTTCTCTAGGACTCGCGGGTGGCGCAAGGTGACTGTTTTTTATTCATTGTTTTGCCGATCGGCGCGGACCCCCCCCCATGGAGTAGATCTTGACTGTTTTTCGGTGCCTGTCGAGCGGGTGGAGTCTCCCCCAGAGGCCGCACTCTTGCAAACAGTCGCATTAAGCAGAGGTCCGGAGCCAGACCGCCCCCCCTCCCTCCTTGCCGCCCAATGTCGAAACGCCGAATAAAAAACGCTCACAAGGTATAAACGATCGTATACATCGTACGCTTCCTCGTGCAATAGTCGGTGTGCAATGGCTTGCTCGCGCGAACGCAATACTTTATCTTTGCGATGCAACAGTTTGTGTTCTCGCTTTTTTCCCCGAGCCATACTTTGCAATAATTGGCATGCCACGGTACAATAGTTGCGTCTGGTCATGTAGTATGACGCAATAGTTGAACACGCTGGCGCAATAGTTCGCAATAGTTGCGTGCAATAGTTGCGCGCAATAGTTTCACGCCCCGAACTATTGCAGCTGCGGTTTGCGGCCCCATTTTCCAAATTCCCCATTCTCCCGGAACCAACGGGCTGCTTCGGTCGTTCTATGGAGCTCTTGGCCCGTCTGACGCCGTCGAAGGCCGTCTGGAGGGCCTCTCTGGGCCGTCTTTGTGCACGCTTGGACCGCTTCGGGGCCCCATTGGGGCCCGATCTTGGGGTCCTCTTTTAACGACTTGGGGCCCTTTGGGGAGCCTCGCAGGCCGTATTGGAGCTATCTTGAAGGCCTTTTGGGCCGTCTCGGGCGATCGGAAACGCAAAGAGTCGAGAAATTCAACACATGTCAAACAAATATGGCAAATCAATGTTTCCTACCTGCTGCGTGCGTCTCGGAGGCCTCATGGGGGCTGCCTGGGGCCTCTTTGGGCCGCCTTGGAGGGCTCATAGCCTGTATGGTGCCCTCGGAAGCCTTCTTAGGAGGTTTCACTGGGCCGTTTTGGCACCTCTTGGGCGATCCTGGGGTCCTCTTGGGCCGACTGTGGGCCCTCTTGGGGGCTTCCTGGGCTGTCTTGGAGCGATCTTGGAGGTCTCTAGGGCAGTACTTGGCGGTCGGAAGCCCCAACAATCGAGAATTTCAACATCCATCAGAAAATTAATGTTGCTCGCCTCCTCGAGCTCTCCTGGAGGGCCTCTTGGAGCCCTCTTGGGCCATATTGGGGGCATGTTGGGCAGTCTGGAGGCGGTCTTTTAAGCCTCTTGAGCCGTCTTGGGTCATTTTGAGCCGTTGTGGTGTCGTCTTGGCTGTCTTGGAAGCCTTCAAGGAGGCTACTTTGGCCGTTTGGAGGCCGAAGGGAGCGCGGGGGGGGGGCAATTTCAGGGGGGGGGGTCTACGCGTGCGCGTGCGAACTGGGGAGGGGGTCGGCCCCAGAAAACATGTAAGATCATTCCCGTAGCACGACGGAAAGAGCGCTAGCGAGGGAAGTTCTGCACAGGGCTTTAGCCCCAATGGGGGGCTCAGGAGGTCTCAGGACGGCCCACAAGGACTCCAAGATGACCGAAGATGCCCCCAAGACGGCTCAAGATAGCTCCAAGACGGCCCAAGAGAGGCCAAAGAGGTCCCAAGACGGGCCAAGAGCGCTCCACGAGGGGGGCGACGATGGGCCCACAACGGCCTCAAGAGGCCCCCAGACGCCCCAAGAGGCCCCCACGGAGACCGCCAAGAGGGACTCGGGAGGGACGAATCCCCGATTTTCCTACGGTTTTTGACGGATTTGGGGGTTCTCGCCTTCGCGGGCCACAAACGGCCACAGACGGCCCTGGATGCCTCAAGGATCGCCCCAAAACGCTTTCAGAGGCTCCCAAGAGGGCTTCAAAACGGCCCAAGAGCGCTCCAAGATGGCCCAGGAGAGCCCCAAGACAGCACAAGGAGGGCCCCACAGATCGCCAAGCGGCTCCCCAAGAGCGCCCCAAGCCGGCCCAAACCCCTCAAGACGGGCCAGGAGAGCCCCGGGACGGCTCATGAGGGCCTCAAAACGTGCCAAGAGGGCCGAAAACGGACGCAAAGAGTCCCAAGAGGACTCCAAGAAGCCTTCAAGATGCCTCCCAGGGCCTTTCAAGAGGCCCCCCAAGACCTTTGACACACCTTCAGTGGCGAACGGTGTTACAAAAAGCTAGGATCTTCTCTGTTGTCCTCCTCCTCTCCGAGTCGTCCCAATCATCTCTCTCACTTGCCGGCTGCCTCACTCCCTCCCCCGCGTCTTCCAATGTCCCTTGCTCCAGCATCCGGCATGGAGTAAGCCCGCCGGCTAGAAAATATGTGAAGTACCCCTTTCACTTCGATTCACCCCGTCCTTGCATCCTTCGCAAATGCACTCTCTCAGTCTTCCTCTGTCCTCTTTTCCCACTTTCCCCTCTTCCGCTCTCCTCTTTACGGTGGCCGTCTTAACGCGCCTCGCCCTCCAGTTTGCTCCAACATGTATGCATGATGACCCCTATGTTAGAGCCGCTGCCGCGTAAACGGCTGCCAAACTCTTGTGGCCATGCTCAAACGTCCGCTCCATAGAAGCGCTTTTTCCGTTCCCGTGCCAGCCCAGGTTCCAACACGCCTATTCCGTGCAGGCATGGTGGCGGATACATTGGAGACCCATGCCAAGAAACATCTTGCTAGCCTCCAGGGTGCCCTGGGCTTCTTGGGTATCGCTGGTCTTGCTATGGAAAGCGTTACGGTCCCACCAAAACATCGATGGACGTCCTGGGGGTCTCAAGGTTGGGTTTCTTGTGGAAGGTTTCTTGTGGTCGAACTCCTATTGTAATACACGGGACAGCATGCGGGAGGCAGGGCAGGGGTGGGAGAGAGGAGGGGGAGAATGGCGAGGGGGAGAAGGAGGGGGACGAGTACGAGGACGATAAGGAGGTGCCATCCTTCCCCTTCTTTTCCTTTTCCTCTCCTCCCCATTCTGCCAACCATCCTCCTGCCCCCTCCTCCTTCCTATCCTCCTTCGTCGTTCCCCCCCCCACCCAGGTGATCCGTGATCCCCCTCCGTCGTTTTCTCCTCGTCCTCCCCCTCGCCCATCCTCCTCCTCCCCCTCCACGCCGAGATCATCGGCTGGGGGGAGCGTGTGTGGAGGAGGACGAGGAAGAGGCAGAGGAGCACCGGCGGCGGGAGAATGGTGAAATGACGGCGACGATGCTGGAGGGGGGGGGAGGACATGTGGGCAAGGGACACTGAGGGAGTGGGGCCCTCGGGCATTTCCCTGTTCCTCGGCCTCCTGGTGCCCTTCCTGGGCCCCGCGGACCATCGAACGTTCTTCGGGTTAGGTCGGGCGTGCCCCTCTACGGGAGGAGTATTCGAGAATAGTTAAACATAGTCTGGGGACGATTCTTCGGTTATTTCTGTGAAGCCATGTTTGAATATTTTTCTGACTATTTTCAATGTGTCCTCCAAAATCTGCCGATAATGAATGAGACATGCCCGACCTAATCCTCGGGAGGAGCAACAAAAAGACGGCTCCCAGGAGAGAGGGCCCGGGGGTCCAGGAGGGGCCCGGTGCCCTCGGCGCCCGCCTTCTTCGCAGATGGCAGGGCGGCATGTGGGTAGCCGCGCGGGAGCAGCAGCAGCAGCAGCAGCAGGAGATCCAGAGTCAGGCGGTCGCAAGTCACGGATCGGGGGGGCGCGGATGAGCGACGGGTCCCGTTTCCATGGGACACCGCGGATTTCCGCCGCCGAGCGAGGCGGCACCGGCCGCATTTGGGGGAGGGCACACCTCACCCGATCCATGGATTTGGCGACCGCGCGCCAAATCCATGGATCGCTAATCCATGTTTGCGCGCCCCCGAGAGAGGGAACAGGAAGGGGGGCGGGAGGAGGGGGAGGAGCATGACCAGCGCGATCCCCAGGTGTCTCACCAGTGCTGCAGTACACGCTCCCGTCCCGTGTCCTCTCCGCACCCGTCCCCACAAGCATTCCTTCCCACTGCGCGAGAGGCCCCCCGATGGACGAGCCCCCCGTGGGTCCCTAATTGACGCGGGGGCTCCGTTTTTGAAAGGAGTTGCCCACCACCCATCGAACTAGAAGGAAGGAGGCGACAAGGTGGGGCCAGAAGGTCTGAGTAATTCAAATGCCCAGAGGCAGGGAAACCAGGTGTTCATCCAGTTCTGCCCGTCGCGACAGTCCCGCTTGGAAAAGGAGCCGCCGTCTATCCGTGCAACTGTTTCGCACGACGTGTTGAGGAAGCCTCGGGCCAGAGCCCCATCTCGATTGGAGCCGCCCTCAATTTCTGCGCTTGCCTGCGTTGTGAAGGACGAGTGTGCGTGACGCCAGGGCGAGGGCCTCTTCATTTTGAAACGATCTGCCCTCCATCCGTGTAAAGACTTCATATGGGTTGGCCAGGACGAGTGTGCCAGGCGCCAGGGCGAGCGCTTCGTCCTGAAAATTACGCGTCTCCGTCCGTCTCACTGCCGGAACTTCTGAGCTTGAGGATCGCAATCGGTGAGGGGGCCTCAAGCCACCGGCAGCGAGCGAGGGAGGGCAAGTGAGATTGAGGAGGCCTTCTCAGAGGGCTCGGAAATGCCCCAGACTTCTGAGAAGTTTTCTAAGCCTTGCCCGAAGACGCAAAAGACCTGTCAGAAGGCGCGAGGACTTCTGAGAAGGCCCGCCGCCTTCTGAGAGGGCCTTCTCCTTATTGCTTTCCCCCCTCGCTCGCCGCCACTGGACGCCAGGCCCGCCCTAACACGCCTGGTGATGTGGCAGGGAGGAGTTTCAGTCGAGACTGATTAGTAGGTCGAGCCTGCCAAATCGAGGGCACCCTTGTGCCCTGAGCTCCGCGACCAATGCCTTCTTGCATGCCTATGGCAATGTGGCCCTCGGAAGGGTCTTGTGTCCTCTTGCGTGCCCTCTCCAATCAACCCCGACTGTGCAGTGGGGGGCTCATGCCAAGAAACACTCTGCTTGCCTCCAGGGTGCCTTGGGTTTCTTGGGTTTCGCTGGTTTTGCCGTGGAAGGGAGACGTTCTCGCACCAAAAATCGACGGACGTCCTGAGGTCTCAGGGTTGGGCTTCTGGCGGACGGTTTCTTGTGGACCCGCCCCCGCTGCAGCTGAGCCATGCCCGAGGAGGCGGGGGACTGGCCCGGGGGAGGAAAGGGCAGCAGCGACCCCCCATCGCCTATCCGTCGCCAGTCGGGACCTGGGCCTCCCGCCCCGCCCGGGATCGTTGGGTCGCCTCGTCGTGGGGCCTATCGTCAAATCGATCTTGCCCCCCTACAGGAGGAATATCCGAAGGTCGTGAAAGAACAGTATGGGGACGATGTGTCGATTATGTGGTGCAGCATGTTTTATGTGTTTCAGTTTTATTCCCAAACCCGACCTAAGCCTGTCGCCGATCCATCGGCGACGCATCGTCGATTTCGAATCAATGTTTCCCCGCCTGAGCCGCCCCCCCCTGCAGTGGAAACCCATGCCAAGAAACACCCTGCTGGCCTCCAGGGTGCCCTGGGCTTCCCGGGTTTCGCTGATTTTGCTGATCATGCAGCGCGGCGCTCCCACACCACTGTCGGCGGCCGTCCTGGGGGGCCTCAGGGCTGGGCTTCCTGTGGAAGGTTTCCTGTGGTCGAGCTCCTACTGCATCATTCCCTCGCAGGACCAGAGTCCTCCTCGCTCCTCCGAATTCTCTCGAATCTTGGTGCAATGGTATGCACGTTGTGTGGGTTGTACCAGCTCAATGCTGGGCGTGCGGGGCATTCGAAGCTTGGAGGTTGCTGTCTGGGCCCTTCTCAGCACCCCCCCACACTGTATAAGCAGAGGCATGCAATTAAGGCCATCAAGGCGGGTAAGAACCTCAAGAATGGCCAGCAGCTCAAACTGTTTTGATGAATTTCCTTGGCCCGCTCAGTTTTCCGTCACTTTTTCCCTTGGGAATCCACGGTAAACGAGCTGGGCCCACATGATTGGCCCATGCTCCCGTTTTTGGTTGCATGACAGGTCATCCGAGGCGTCCTTCTCCTTCTCCTTCTCCTCCTCGTCCTCCTCCTCCTCTTCCTCCTCCTCGCTCCTCGCTCCTCGCTCCTCATCCCCCTTGCTCATCCTTGTTCCCTCCGGCACGCCCCTCTGCCTCGCCCTCCCTGCCGGCGGCGCGGCCGCCGCCCGCTGGCACCCCTTGGCGCCTGGCGCCGCCCTGGAGTGCCGCTGCGGAGCGTCGGCTGCCGCTTCGCCGGGCCTCTTCGGCCGGAGGGAGGGCCTCCACAGATGTTCGGTTCGGGGGCGGCCAGGAGGGAGGGTATCATTGCGGGGGCCATGATACCTCCCCAGATCTCATGGCCTCTTCTTCCCTATATTAGGGGGCCACATGCGAACCCTACCCCTACCCCACTCGACTCCCGAGGGGAAGGGTGGGGTTCACTTCGCTCGGGAGCTCCCGAGCGACATGAACCCCACCCTCGCCCTCGGAAATCGTGGGGAGTAGGGATAGGGTTCACATGTGGCCCCCTACATATCCTAGGACGGGCGTCGGACCATTATTCGGACGGCTCCGAGAGAAGTGACTCACTCGCACTCAGACTCACTCGTATGCAGACTCAATACACTCATAGTCGCTCACCCTTAGACTCGCTCACTCTTAGGCGCACTCACTCTCGGGCTCACTCACGCTAAGACTAACTCACTCTCGTACCCCTCTTATACTCGGACTCGGACTCATACTCATTGGTTGTGAAATGCCCACCGCGATGTAGCAGGCGTCGAATTTGGACACCCCAAGGAGGGGGTGCTAAGGGTCAGGACATTCCAGGATTCGCGCCCAGATTGTGGAGATGTTTCAGGCGGTTTGCTCATTCGCGTGCCCAATATCTTTTGCTTTCGGAGCAGATTCTGAGGATGTCTGAGGCGAGGCGCTGGTTTTAGCACTCCTACGGGGGGGCGCCAGGGGTCAGGACATTTCGAGGATTCGCGCCCGTATTGGGGGGATGTCTCAGACGGTCTGCTTATTTGCGTGCCCAGCATTCTTTGCTTTCGGAGCAGATTCTGAGGATGTCTCAGGCGAGGCGCTGGTTCCAGCACTCGTAATTAATGGAGAGTTCCAGGAAAAGGTAGTGAGGATGTCTCGGGCGGTTTGCTTGTTTCAGCCCCCCTGACTGGTTTTTGTCGGTGGTCCAATGTTCACCGCGTTCCAGCTGGCGTCGCGTTTGGGCGCCATAAGGGGGAGGCGCCAGGTGTGTCCAGGGCTCGCGACAAGAATGTGGGATGTCTCGGTCTGTTTGCCCGTATCTGTCCCCCATATTTATTTGTGTTAGTGGTCCAATCTTCACCACCATATTTGCAGACGTAGCAATTGGCCACCCCAAGGGGGAGCCGCCAGGGTTGAGGACACTCCAGGATTCGCGCTCAGATAAGCGGGATGTCTCAGGTGGTTTGCTTGTGTTTGCCCCCCCCTCCCAGACGTTTCTTTTGTTGCGGCTGAATGCTCATCGTGATATAGCAGGCGTTGTACCTGTGCACCCCAAGGCGGAACCGCCAGGGGTGGGGACACCACCTCTTCCTCACTCAGACTCATTCATCACATTTTGACTTCGCCAATACTCATATTCGGTAATACTCAGACTAACACATACTCGATCATACGCAGCATCGCTCAAACTCAGACCCACACACACCCAGACCAGTTCACACTCAGACCCACTCACACTCATGCTCACCAGCCCTCAGATTCACTCTACGGAGACTACCTCGCACAGAGTCTGGCCCCAGGCCGTCTTTATTCAATTGCGTTTGCTTAATCGGGCTCAGTCCAGCCCCGAGGAGCCTCAGATGTTCGTCGTCTTGATGTCTAGAGTCCCGGCGCGCTTGGGTTTGTAATCTCGGCGCCCGTGTTTCGTTCGCTCGGGGGGGGGGCGGGTTGATCGGAAGACGGAAATTGATGTGTGTGTTTTCTGTTTGTTGCCGCTTTCGGCATACTCTCCCCTGCTGATCTGGCACACACTCGCAAGAACTACATGCCCTGAGCGTGTTCCGCCAGCCGCGGCCCCCTTCCCCCCGTCTTCGCGGTCTTCGGCTCCCGGCTGTGCCCAATGAGGCCCCGTAGCGCCCTTCGGCTGCCCACGACCGCGGCATGTTCCGCGCCACTGCGCCCGACAAGAACTCTCCTGTTGTTTTGTTCGTGCGCGCCTACGTGATCCGATAGGTTCGCCAGCGCGCCCCGCTCGCCCGCAGGTCGACATGTCGGATTTGAGCAAGTTCGACCTTCTGGTGCGCCAGCGCATGAGCCAGAAGCCGCGGCAGGGCGTGCTAGGGGACCAGTCGAAGGCGCCGCCACTAGGGCCCGTCGCCGGTCCAAGAAATCAGTGTGGACCTCCATAAATACGCATCGGTCGTTGAAAGCATGCATTTCTGAGATCCCAGATTTCAATCTACTTCAATCATGGAGTGGTCTTCCCTCTTCCTTACTCTTCGGGGTGATGGCGGGAATCCAGTCCACTTTCAACGCCCTCTTACCTTATGCTCCTACCCATTTCTTCCGACTGCTGGGTGTATTATATCTCCCGCGGGAGCCTGCTGAAGGCACGCACCCAGGGATGATGTCAGACCGTTCGGCCCACGGGCGCACCCCAGGTCCGTCCTACGAAACCCTTTTGCCTGCTTGGAGGGCCGCCACCCCTTTGTTCCAGTCTCTGGCTTTGCATGGGGGAGGAGGACGAGGACGAGGACGAGGACGAGGAAGGGAGGAGGAGGAGGTGGAGGAGAAGGAGGAGGAGGGGGATCGAGGGGGATCCTGGGGGATCGAGGAGGGAGGATGAGGGAGAAGGGAGATGGAAGACGAGGAGGAGGAGGAGGAGGAGGAGGAGAAGGACGAGGAGGAGGAGGAGGAGGAGGAGGAGGAGGAGGAGGAGGAGGAGGAGTGCGGGGACGTCGGGGTCGTTTGCAGTTTCGAGGCTCCGAAGAAGGGAGCCGCAGACGATACACTGAGCAGTGAGGCCAGACTTCCTCAGAGCAACGTGGTTATGTGGGTTGATCGCGGGGTGGGTCGCAGGCGGGTTGCGGCGGGTCGCGGGTGGATCGCGGGTCGGGTCACGGGCGGGTTGCGTTGTGCCGCGGGTGGATCGCGGGATAAGTAGTTTGTGGGGTGGGTCGCGGGCAGGTTGCGGTGGGTCGTGGGTGGATCGCGGGGTAGCTCGTGGGGTGGGTCGCGGGCAGGTTGCGGTGGATCGCGGGTGGATCGCGAGGTAGCTCGCGGGGTGGATCGCGGGCAGGTTTCGGAGGGTCGCGGGAGGATCGCGGGGTATCTCGCGGGGCGGGTCGCGGGCGGGTTGCGGTGTGTCGCGGGTGGATCGTGGGATAGCTCGCGGGGTGGGTCGCGGGCGGGTTGCGGCGGGTTGCGGTGGGCCGCGGGTGGATTGCGGGGTATCTCGCGGGGTGGGTCGCGGGCGGGTTGCGGTGTGTCGCGGGTGGATCGCGGGGTAGCTCGCGGGGTGGATCGCGGGTGGATCGTGGAGTGAGCGGGTGGGGGGACCACACCAACAAACAGCACAGAAGTAGGTTTGATATTGTTCACTCCCACAAGCTCGCGTGTCATTCAGCGAAAACCTCCTCAGTTCGCGATGCCCTTGAGGGGGTATAGTTCCTTTACCTGCCACATGCTTGCGGCGCAGCCCTTCTAAGAAGGACAAATAAGTAATGGACAAGGGAGAGAGCGCAGAGGAATGGAGTAGAGGAAGGGAGGGACGTTTGGGGCAAGGGGGAGGAATTGAAACGATGGAGGACGAGAGGGACCAGCAGGACGGATAAGGAAGAGGGGGTGGCAAGGAAGTCTCAGGCGAGAGCGCGGTTGCTGAGTAAGTTGCCAGGACCTCCCGAGCGAGAACGCGATTCCAGAGCGCCGAGAAAGCAATTAGTACAGACACTGGTTGTAAGATAGTGTAATCAAATCTCAGGTGAGAACGTGATTCCTGGATGAATTGGTAAGTCCTGGCCCCATCGGAAGTTCCACCCACGACCCAAATGGTGCCGTCCGGGGAGGACGCGGACGAGGAAGAGGAGGAGAAGGAGGAGGAGGAGGATGCGGAGGAGGATGAGGTGGAGGATGACGACGAGAATGACGAGATGGGGGGGAGGGGGGAGGGGGGGAGGGGTGGTGGGGAGGAGGGCGAGGGGGGACGAGGATGATGATGAGGGAGGAGGAGAGGAGGAAGAGAAGGACGAGAAGGAGGAGGAGGTCGGAGGAGGAGGAGGAGGGGAGGAGGAGGAGGAGGAGGAGGGGGAGGAACAGCAGGAGCAGGAGGAGGAGGAGGAGGAAGAGGAGGACGGTTACGACGACGACTAGGAGGAGAGGAGGAGGAGGAGGAGAAGGAGGAGGAGGAGGAGGGAGGAGGAGGGGGATCGAGGGGGGTCGTGGAGGATCGAGGAGGGAGGAAGACGGAGAAGGGATATGGAAGACGAGGAGGAGGAGGAGGAGGAGGAGGATCGTGGAGGAGGAGGAGTGGGAGGAGGAGGATGAGAAGGACGAGGAGGAGGAGGGGGAGGAGGAGGAGGTCGAGGAGGAGGAGGAGGAGCTGTCGTGCCCTGGGCTGGGGAGGAGGGAGAGGAGGAGGAGGAGGAGAGGAGGAGGAGGAGGAGGGGAGGAGCAGGAGGGGCAGGAGGAGCAGGCGCAGGAGGAGGAGGATGTGGAGGAGGAGGAGGTTAAGGTGTAACAGGAGGAGGAAGAGGAGAAGAAGGAGGAGAAGGAGGTGGAGGACGACGAGGAGGAGAAGGACGACAGGAGGAAACGAGGAACATGAAAGTGGGAGGAGGAGGACGACAGGAGGAGGAGGAGGATGAGGATGATGATGAGGAGGAGTAGGAGGCGGAGGGGGGGGATCGAGGAGTATCGTGGAGGACCGAGGAGGGAGGAGGAGTGAGAAGGAAGGTGGAGGAGCAGGAGGAAGAGGAGGATGAGGAGGAGGTGGAGGGGGAGGGGGAGGGGAGGGCGAGGGGAGGGCGAGGGGAGGACCAAGGAGGAGGATCGAGGAGGATAGAGGAGGAGGAGGAGGAGGAGGAGGAGGAGGAGGAGGAGGAGGAGGAGGAGGAGGATTGAGAAGTATGGGGGGGGGGATTGTAGAGGAGGAAGAGGGGAGGGGAGGGGAGGAGGATCGGGATATCGGGAAAGAGCTGTCGCGCCTTGGGCTTGGGAGGAGGAGGAGGGTGATGAGGAGGAGGGCGAGGAGGAGGAGGATGATGAGGCCGCCGGCGACGATTTGAGGAACTGAGTTGGATGATGATGGTGATGATGATGATGAGTGTGACACTGATGATGACGCGGATGAGGACGATGATGATGCCGATGCTGATGATGATGATAGTGATGATGGTGATGCGGTTTGCTGGTCATGCTGATGACCATGATGATGTTGCTGATGCTGCTGATGATGACGATGATGGGGATGAAGATGAGGATGATGCTGCTGATGACGATGACGATAACGATGCTGACGATGACGATGACGATGCTGATGGTGCTGATGATGCTGATGAGGATGACGATGACGATGATGATGTTGGTGATGGTGCTGATGATGCTGCTGAATGTGCTGCTGCTAGTGATGATAATGGCGTTGATGCTGACGACGGGGGTGATGATGTTGATGATGAGAATGCTACTGGTGGTGATGATGACGATGTTGATGATGACACTGATGATGTCGCTGATGATGGTGACGATGATGCTGATGATGATGATGATGATGATGATGATGATGATGATGATGCCGACGGAGATGAGTATAATGATTACGATGACGCTGCTGATGATGATGCTGCTAAGTATGCTGATGATGATGACGATGGTGCTGGTGCTGATGCTGATGATGTTGACGACGCTGGTGATGATGGTGATGCTGCTGATGATGACGATGAGGGTTATGTGGGTGATGAGGGTGACAATGCGGATGATGACGATGATGCTGATGATGGTGATGTTGATGCTGCTGACGATGATGATGATGGTGGTGGTGATGATGCTGACGGCGATAGTGATGTTGATGTTGATGCTGATGATGCTGATGCTGATGGTGATGATGATGTTGATGGTGATGATGCTGCTGACGCTGCTGCTGCTGAAGAAGATCTTGACGATGGCGATGACGATGACAATAACGATGCTGACGATGCTGAGTATGATGATGCTGATGATGATGATGATGAAGCTGAGGATGCTGATGATGATGACGACGAGGGTGATGATGATGATGATGTCGATGACGACGATGCTGCTGATGCTGATAGCGTTTATGTTGATGATGATGATCATGATGATGATGCTGCTGCTGATGCTGATGATAATGCTGATGCTGTTTTTTGATGCTGATGATGGTGGTGGCGATGATGATGATGCTGATGATGATGATGGTGATGGCGAGGATGATGACGATGATGATGATACTTGATGGTGATGATGATGATGATGGTGATGGTGATGGTGATGGTGATGATGATGCTGATGATGATGATGATGGTGATGGTGATGGTGATGATGGGTGATGATGATGATGATGCTGCTGATGCTGATGATGATGATGATGATGATGGTGGTGATGATGATGATGATGACGATGACGATGACGATGACGATGATGATGATGATGATGATGATGATGATGATGATGATGATGATGATGATGATGATGATGATGATGATGATGATGATGATGGTGGTCATGGTGGTGGTGCTGGTGCTGGTGGTGGTGGTGTTGAGGAGGAGGAGAAGGAGGAGGAGGAAGAGGAGGAGGAGGAGGAACAGGAGGAGCAGGGGGAGGAGGAGGAGGAACAGGAGGAGGAGGAGAAGGAGGGGGAGGAAGATCCAGGAGGATCGAGGAGGGCGGACGGAGGAGGAGGGAAGAGGGAGGAGGGAAGAGGAGGAGGCGGAGGAGGAGGAGGAAGAGGAGGAGGAGGAGGAGGAGGAGGGGGAGGGGGAGGAGGAGGCGGAGGAGGAGGAAAAGGAGGAGGAGGAGGTGGAGGAGGAGGACGAGGACGAAGACGAGGACGAGGAGGAGGAGGAGGAGACGAAGAAGATAGAGGACGGGGAGTGGTCGAGCTGGAGAAGGATTGAGGGGCGGGTCGTCAAGGATTGTGAACCTTCTGCAAGCGGGCACCTTCTGGACGGCGTGCCCTTCTTGGCGCGACTGCCTGGGACGCGGAGGCAACCGCGCGCACGGGTTCGCCAGGGCTGATGATGGTGCGGTGGAACAACTGAACACAAGTGAGGTCCACAGAAAGCAATACTGACCACCAGCCCCGCTCGACTGCACTGTGCGGTCAGGGACGTATGCAGCGTGTGCTCAGGACCATGCTCCAGTATCTGCAACGCCAGAGCGCAGCTCGCCGTCAACATGTCGGTCCTCGTAGTGGGCGTAGGTGAGCAACTGCGCGTTCGCGAGGGCGCGCGATCGCTGAGTAGCCCCGGCCCACCTCTTCCAGCCGGCGCCAGCTGGCCCTGCGCCGGGCAAAGGGGGCCCTGCGGAGAGTGGCCCCTGTCGGGTAGCGGCAACGTTTGCGTCGGACAGGCTCGTGGGGTGATGCACCGACCCCCAAATCTCGGCCACACGCTCTAGGGGGCAGAGGAAGGGGGGAAGGCTTCTTACATGGAGGGTGCTTCTTAGAAGGGGCGGGTCTTATCTATAGATGTAGGGCTGGCGCCTTTTAAGAAGCAGCCTCTTTCTAAGAGGCCTTTCCCCCTACCCCTACCCGCTTGGTGCGTGCCGCCAACGGGGGGTGATTCATCGACCCGCAAATCGCACATCCACATTCATCCCCGATGGGGGCCTGATAGCCCAGCCAGCCCAGGAACGTGCGGTTTCACTACCAAGGTCTTATCGCCGATCTGTCGGCGGTGCATCGCCTGTTCCAGGTCGACGCTTCTCCCCCTGAGTCGATCCCCCCAATGGTCTCCCCTCCGCTCGGAGACAGAGAGAGGGTAGGATGAGCAAGCAAGCAAGGCAGCAGGCCATACATCGGAGAGCTGTGGTCTGGTCCTTACCCCCCTCTGGGGGGGGGGGCGTCTGCTTCGACAGCCTTCTCACGAGGCGATCGATGCCGTGAGTTCCCCCCAGGGGGGAGCTCAGCTCCGCCGGCAGCGGCTGGCATAGGAAGAGAGAGGGCAGGCTTGGCTCGGCTGTCGCCTGTGGCACGGGGAAAGTGTTACCGCTTCGTGCGCTAATACCACTCGGGCGTTGAAATTAGGTATGTTTGGAGTCCCATATTCCAACCTAAATAGGGCGCCTTCCTACTTCAATGATCGAGTAGCTTCCCTTCTTCCCTCCTCTTCAGGGGGCGGGCGGAGACCCGATCTACTTCAACGCCTTCCTACTTGGTGTTTCTACCTACTTCTTCCGACCGATGGGTAATGTTAGCGGCGTCACACCGACATCCTAATACTAGATGTGCGCCGCTCACCCCCCAGGGGCGACGCGCGCACCAATGAATCGCATAGTAAACGCGCCTTGGCGGGCGCTGTCTGGCCAAGCCGCTCGGGAAACGATGTACTACAAGATGGTTTTACTCGATGTGCGGGTCGGACGCACGCCTCCAAGGTGGACATAGGTAGTCAACCCGCACAATAAGGATAGGCAACCTTCCCAAGGGTACACTTGCATTCTTGTCCCGTCGCCCATCCTTAGCGACTTTCGCTGGCCGCGCCCCGTTCGCAGAGTGTCGACCGACATGGCCTTCCAAGGCCCTTGCATCCTTACCGCGAATCCTTATGATACGGGTTGACTGCACTGTAGTACCCGCGACCCACCCGAGACCCGCCCGCGACCCACCCGCGACCCGGCCCGCGACCCACCCGCAACCCACACGCGATCCACCCGCGACCCACTTGCGACCCAACCCGCGACCCACCCACATTGCTCTAACAAGAAAATATCAGCGCCTGCGGCAGGCTCGTTGTATAGCTCGAAAAACTCTGCGCCTGCGGCCGGCTTCTTCAGAGCCTCGCAGACTGCCGACGTCCCCGCCGCCCCCTCACTCCCATCCGCAACTGCGGGGTGCCACGCATGTCCCTGTGCGCCCCGATGCGGTGCGGGCGCAGGCCCCTCGACGACGACGAGGCCGACGTCGTCGCCCCCTCCCGGGGATCCGCGGCGCAGGCCGGCGTCCCGCACGCCATCTCATCGGGCGGGCGGTCCCGGGGGGTGGCCCCAAAAGGGCGGGGTGAAGGCAAAAGGGCCCTCAGGAGAGGGCACTTTGGGGCCCTTTGGGAGCCAGCAGGGAGGGGTCCGAAAGTACCCCTCGAAGGCCCCTTTTGGAGCCAGGGGCTCAGCCCCCACTTCCCACCCGCCCGACCCATCCTAGCGGAGCTGCTCCGGAGGGCAGCACCTGGGCCCCCTTCCAGGGCCCGCTGTGTGGCAAGCTCCGCATCCCCGGACGGGGTCGTGGCCGTGAGGACCGGGGCCCGGAGCGGGAATCGAGGAGCGAGGAATCGAGGAGCGAGGGATCGAGGAAACGAGGAATCGAGGCATCGAGGAAAGCGAGGAAATCGAGGCGATCGATCGAGGAGATTCGGGTTGACCCAAAAGGGGGTCCAGCGACAAGGGGGTGGTGCAATAGATTTGGTGCAATAGATATGTGGGGTTGCAATACATGTGGGGCGTGCAATATACTCCGGGGCGCACATGTATTGCTGGATTCTCGCGTGCAACGCTTTACTTGCAATACAATGCAGTGCAATTCTCTGGCGCAACACACTCTGCAGCACAATTGCCCGAAATCTGTTGCCCGAAATCCGAAACATTTGCAGCACAACTGCCCGAACTCTGGGAAGATGCGAGGAAGCGCCGAGGAACGGCCCTCGGCGGCCGAGCGCCGAGGAGCGAGGAGGGGCCCGCGCTGCTCCGATCCTCGTCGTCGGCGCTCGCCGGCCCGCAGGAGGACGTCCCGTGCCCCGCCTTCGCCGAGCTCGCCCGCCTCGCCGAGGAGGCGTGCCTGAGCAGGCGGGCGCAGGAGCCCAGGCCTCCCAAGCGGGGCCCCTCGGCAACAAGTCGCTCGGCGGCGAGCGAGGGGGGGAATGGAGAGCAGGGAAACAAAAAGCGGCATACAGACATGAGAAGGAGGAGGCCCTCTCCAGGGGAGCGAAGAACAACATAACCATACAAAAACTCGGCGGTCCGAGCGGGTTTCTCGGATCCGCGCTGGGGCCCCCTGGCGGCGCCTCCGGCGCCGCCCCTGGCGCGCTCCGCGCACCACGGAGGGGGGTCAAGCGCGGATCCAAGAAATCCGCGCGGACCTCCGAGTTGTTATGTTTACGCATGTAGTTTGTCGTTCCCCTAGAGGGGTGGAAATGAGAAGGAGGAGGTCTTGTCAGAAGGTGGCAGGAATTCTCAGAAGTCCTCGCGCCTTCTGAGAAGTCTTTTCTGTCTTCGGGGAAGGCTCGGGAAACTTCTCGGAAGCCCGGGGGACTTCCGAGCCTTCTGAGAAGGCCCGCCCCGTGTCGCTCCCACAGCCTCGCTCGCCGCCGAGTCATGGGAGCCTCGTATACCCTCGCAATCCCGTCTTCGGAGTGTACTCGTGTTGTTTAGCGTTCGGTACCTGGCCGATGAGGTGGGGCCGAGGTCGCGCCGATCCACGTCGACCAGCGTCGACGACCCTCGCTTCCGCGTCGATCCGCGTCGAGTCGCGAGAGCCAGCAAAACGGTATGGGAGGCCCCCACGAGTTGCCACAGACGGGCCGCGGCGCGGCAGACTCGTGCCGTGCCGGCGCGGTGGCGAAGCTGCACCGCGGGCGTTCCGAGGTTTGGAGCGCAGCCGACGGCCTCGGTACGTCCAGCATTCGGAGGCCGATAGACCTCCGACTCTCACGTCGGGCACATTCCTCTAGAGGAGGAATAGTCAAAAAATAGCCTGGGGACGATTTTTCGACTAGTTTTGCGTATTTCTTTAAACTATTTAACTTTTCGCCCAAAATCCGCCTGTATGGGGGGACAGGCCGAGCTAACCCTACCCTGACGCGTCGATTAGCGAATTCGCCGTTTTCGGTTCGCGAAAGGGCCTCGCGGCCGTTATTTCTGCGGGTCCAGGTCCGTCGGCTTCAATCCTATAGTTAAGTCGGGCTTGTCCCTCTTCAGGAGAAATATTACAAATAGTTAAAGAAAATTGTTTTGGGACGATGTTTTGACAATGTTGAATATTTTAGGGTATGTTTTGATTATTCGTCTTTTGTCATCCAAAGTCGGCCTGTAGGGAGACATGCCCGTTTTAATCCTATATAATCGAGAAATAGTCGAGGGACGATTTGTCTAACATGTTTTGATCATTCGCGAATCTATTTTGAACACGTTTGATTTGTCGTCTAGAAATCGCCTGTAGGGGGACATGCCCTACCCAACTCCAGTTACCGATTCCACGCTCCACGGTCACGGTCTCTCCGATGCCACTTCCACTGTCGCACTTGCCTCCCCGCCACCATCACCGCCTCCGCCGCCCCTGTGCCCGGCACTCGCTTCCAGCCCCACCACCGACTTCACCAGCCACCGTGCCGCCCGATCTGCGAGGGAGGCGGTCTCCTCCCACCGCCGACCCCCGTGCCGGGAACTGCACACGAGCTCCGGTTGCCAAAGTCACGGTCACGCTCTCTCCGGTGCCGCGTCCACTGTCGCACCTGCCTCCCCGCCAGCACCATCGTCGCCGCCTCTGGCGCTCCCGTGCCCCGCCCTCGCTTCCAGCCCCACCACCGACTTCAGCAGTCTTAAATCGGGCCTGTCTCCCTGCAGGAGGAATAATCAAAAATAGTAACACATGGTCCGGGGACGATTTTTTACGATTTTTGAATCTTTGGGGGCATTTTTTGAGTATGTTTCATTGTTCGTTCAAAATCCGCCTGCAGGAGGACATGCCTGACCTAACATTAGCCACCGTGCCGCCCGATCTGCGAGGGAGGCGGTCTCCTCCTACCGCCGACCCTCGTGCCCAGACTGCGCACCCTCTGACGCGGCCGCTCGTACGGAGGAAAACCTTGCCAAGAAGCACCCTGCTTGCCTCCAGGGTGCATTGGGTTTTCCTTGGGTTTCGATGGTTTTGCGATGGAAAGCGTGACGTTCCCACAAAGAATTCATGGCCATCCTGGGGTCTCAGGGTTGTTCTTGTTTGTGGAAGGCTTCTTCTGGTCGAGCTCCTGCTGTACGCCTTTGCCGCCTGATGGGGAGTGGTCCTCAGATGCCGCGTCGGGCAGTCTCCCTTCTGCCACGGCTGTGCTGTCTGAGGTCGATCCTCCACCATCGGCCGCTCGTCCGCCACCAGACATCCGCCACTGGCCCTGCCATCGCAATAGCAACTACCGCGTGAATGACCACTTCGACCACCAGTGCCAGTGCTAGCGAGCTCTAGGGCCAGGATGCCGATGCACGACGGCTACCAGCGGCGCGGCACTGTGCAGCACGATGGGCTCAAGCAGTACATGGCACAGACTTGCACGACGGGTACCATCAGCACGACGTTGAACCCCACGACCGGATCCAGCAATACAGTGCCCTCTTTCTTGAGGCGGGAATGCGGGCAGCTATTCTTGTTTGGGTGCACCATTTACGTTACATCTTCAGGGGACCTCGCCTGTTTCCCAAATTCGTGTGTTTTCGTGTGCCCGACGCGGGCTCGATGCGGAGTTTACGTGGATTTGGCTTGGATTCGACGCAGATTCGACACGGATTCGACAAGGTTGACATGGATTGGACACGTGACGGGACAGACAAGGTCCCGAGATGATTCAGCATAATACCATCTTTGTGACATTTGACATCGACGCCATCCTCCTGACATGTGTCATCGGCATGGGCTTGGTGCCATTCGACGACGTTGGCACCATCTCTGCGACATTTGACCCCGCTCTCGCCCGAGGCGGCTGCGTTTGAGACGAGATGTCGTCCTCGCCTCCTGCCCTCGCGCATGTAGAGGTTGAGCGGGGTCGCAAAGGAGACGAATGTGGGGCACAGCGACGGGGCAGAGAACGGATGACTGAGCGCCAGTGTCTGACCGTCGAATCACCGCGTCATTGGGCGGCACGTCCGCGACGTCCACGCACCGACGCCTTCACCAACACCGACACATACGATGTACGCCACCACCGACGCCACTATCGACACCAGCTACTCGGCGGCGCGCCCAGGGGGCAATGCGGAGGGGGCAGGCCGTCTCAGAAGGCTCGGAAGACCTCGGGCCTTTGGGGAGTTCTCGAAGCGCTCTCCTCGACGATGGAGACGCCTTCCGAGAAGGCCCGCTTCCTCTCACTCTCCCCCTGGGCGTGCCGCGCCGACTGCTCCGATACCAGCGCCTCGGAAGGTGCCGTCATCGGTCATCGACACAGCACCAGCACGAGCGTCAAGAGCAGCACCGACATTCGCAGCTTCACCAACATCGCCACCGCGAGCTGGAAGAGTGGCGCAGGCAATCCTGCCTGCGGCAAGACGACCGCCGGGCAGCACGGTCTCGACGGCCAGACGCCTCCAGGCGACACGACAGCCATTACCAGAGCTCGACGAGCAGTTTCGATATAAGCGCCTGGTCTTGGATGCGATTCGATGGGATTCTGCAGTGGAGGCGCGCTGTGCAGTGACGTCCCGCGAGCCTTAAGAAGCTGCTGCGTTCAGGGTGCTCCTGGTTTTCCCCCGTGTGCATCTCTCGCGCGGGTTTTCAGTGCGCTGGGTTTCTTGCAAGGGTTTCTTGCGGCTGCGTCCGCTTTGTATGGGGTGGTGTCAGGGCCAGTCTAGGAGGCATCGTGACCATGTCCATCAGACTCACCGACCTGATGTCGCGGTCCTCCACCACACTCGGAGTCTGTCCAGGAGCAAGCAGTGCACACTTCCTCACCCCCTCTCGCCCCTTCCCTCTCGCTCTCGCCTCCTGGAGGCGGAGCGCTGGCTAGCCTTAAGTCGGGCTTGTCCCTCTACAAGAGGAAGATTCAAACATAGGTTTAAGATAGTATTGGGACGATGTTTCTATTCTTTTTGAGTAGTTTTGAATCTGGTTTAAGTATGTTTTACTTGATGTTCAAAATCTGCCTGTAAGGGGACATGTCCGACCTAAGGCCAGCCCCGTTCGGGCTGGACAGTTTTCCGTTTTCTCTGCCCGTCGCGTCCTCGCTCCCCCCCCCCCGATGGCGAGCCAGTTTTCCGCGGTGGGCTATGGATGTCCGTGCTCCTGTCTGTTGCCCTCCCCTCCTCCGCTCTCCTTCGGTTTCTCGTGCGCTTGTCCTCCCCTTTCGGCGGCCAGCCCGGGTTGGGAAGTGAGAAGGGGTGGGCTTGTTCAGAAGGCTCGGAAGGCCTCGGGCCTGATGAGGAGTTTCCTAGGCCTTCCCCGCAGACACAGACAACTCCTCAGAGGGCTGGAGGGCTTCTGAGAAGCCCCACCGCCTTCTCAGAATGCCGCCTCCTCCTCCTCCTCCTCCTCCTCCTCCTCCTCCTCCTCCTCACGTCTCCCCTGACAGTTTTTTTGGGGGGGGTCCCAACCAGTTCGGACTCCTCAGGCGCCGCCAGCTTTAGTCACTGCCTGCTCTCCTTTCCCTGCTCTGGCTTTCTGCTTCCCCCTTCTGGGGCCTGTGTGGGCGCACCCTGGGCGAGGCCCCAGCTGGTCTGCGCATCCACGAGCTTTGGCTCCCCTCTCCTCCTTGCGCGCCTGCGGGTCACGTTAAGTCGGGCATGTCCCTCTGCAGGAGGAATATTCAAAAATAGTCGAATAACAAATAATCCGGGGACGACTTTTGGATTGTGTTTCGACTACGTTCGATCATTGCTTGACTATTTTGCATGTTTCGTCCAAAATCTGCCTGTAGTGGGACATGCCCGACCTAAGTGTAAACCAGATATCGGCCTCGCGGTCGGGACAGGAAATTCGCCGCGTGCTTGCGGCCCATTTTCGGCCACTTGGCTGCGGCCACCTTGCCGCGCTTGTGTTGTCCTTCTCCTTCTCCTGGTCCTCCTCCTCCCCCCTCGTCCATCTATGTTGCGCGTGCAAGCTTACGTGGTGATTCACGGAGCTAGGAAAAGGCAGCCTCGTATCTCGTTAATTTTCAATTTTGCTCTGGCTCATGTTTCATTGCGTTTCGTCGTCGCGCTGAGCTTGTGCAGATCTGATCGCAGATATGGCCGTAATGGAAAACCAAGGACCTGCGTTGTCGGAGAGCCGCGGTCGCTCACGGGTCGAATGGCCCGAGCGGTGTCCGAAACCAACGCCCGAGTCGTCACGACACGAAGTTGTCGCCCACGGGGGCGGGGGAGCACGCCGCATGGCCGATGTGTTCGGCGATGCGGCCCGATGCGGAGCCCGAGCTCTCCGTCTCGGCGTCGCTGGTGCACCTGCGATGCATTGGCGAGGTGCGACCCTCCCGCCCCCGACTGCTCCGGCCCCGCTTGGGAAGGCCTCCGGCAGGGGCGCTTCGTGCGCGACCTGTCCCGTCTGTGCAGTGAGGCGCCGCGCCGCCGTCGCCGCCCCCCGCCGACGACGATGGCTCGAGTAGGATATCGGATATCGGCTACAGAATTGATTCTTACTCCGGAATTGAAGTTGTCGCCGGAGCGACGGAAATTGTGTAGCATGTTCGTAGACTTGCGATCATGTCTGCACACTCGATCGCAGATCCGACGAGGGAATCAATCCGGGGATCCCCTGGAGCTGCGCGGTGACCCCACCGCGTGGTGAGGCAGTGGGGATGTTCGGGGTCACCGCGCGGCCTTGGGGCCACAGGTAGGTAGGGCATGTCCCTCCACAGGAGGAGCATTCAGAAGTAGTCAAAACAAATAGTCTTTGGGCGAGTTGTTCTGCTATCTGCGGCCAGGATTATGGTTTGGCTATGTTACTATGTTTCAATTGTTCTTCCACCATCCGCCTGTAGGAGGACATGCCCGACCTGAGGCCACGGCCGTTCTGTACCTTGTTTTGTGTTCCAACTCTTCGTGTTGGTATCATACAGTCAGAGCAGGTCGTAAGGATGAACGACTTTCCAGGGTTACCCTTGCATCCTTGCCCGTTCCGCCCATCTTTGCCCACGTTCGCTGCCCGCGCCCCGATCGAAAAAACATCAACCTGGCGTTCCAAGGCCCTTGCATCCTTACAGCGCATCCTTATTATGCGTTTTGTTTGTATCTTCCCGAGCGGAGGTTTCCAGCGTCTACACGCAGCAGCGCGCGGAGCTCTACGACACCGTGCTGTTCAGCGTCGGGGCGGACGAGGGTGACGAGGCGCCCTGCCAACTGCTTGGCGGATGCCGGGAAGAGTGGTCGAAGGTTCCCCCCGTGAGTAAGGGTGATGTTTAAGACTGTGTGACGTGATGTGTCTTCGGTGCATGCGTAGATCAGCGTTGTGTCTTTCATATACGTGTTGATGTAGTTGTATATGTAGATGCGGATGCAGACGTTAGCGATGATACTGGTGTAGCTGTTGTCCTCTCGGTTTTCCCATTGTCTCTTGTCCTCTTGGTTTCCCCATTGTCTATTGTCCTCTTCGTTTCCCCATTGTCTCTTGTCCACTCGGTTCCCCCATATTGTCTTGTGGACTCTTGGTTCCCTATTGTCTCTTTTCCTCTTGGTTCCCCTATTGTCTGGGGGGCGGGAGGGCCTCCCAGGAGTGCGATTGCCGAAACCTATTAAAAAACAATGGGAACGCGTCTTGGAGCCACGAAACCTGTGACACTACAAACAAAACAAAACAAATAGAAATACGTAGCACCCCGCAATTGCGGATACGAGTGAGGGGGCGGGCGCGGGCGACGCGGGCGTCGTCAAGCTGGCGGACCTCGTGGCCCCCACCTTCCCTGTCGATGGCGCTCTTCTCCTCCTCCTCCTCCTCCTCCTCCTCCTCCGCCTCCTCCTCCTCTTCCTCGTCCTCGCCCTCGTCCTCGTCCTCATCGTCATCGTCGTCCTCCTCCTCCTCCACCTCGTCCTCCTCCTCCTCCTCTTCTTCCTCGTCCTCCCTCTCTCCCCTCGGCCTTCCATCATTGCCCTCCCATTGTCGTCATGTTCCTCCTCGTCGTCTTCCTCCTCTCCTCCCCCCTTCCCGATCCTCCCCCCTCCTTTTTGTCGTCGTCGTCGCCGTCGTCGTCGACGTCGTCGTCCCCTTCCTCCTCCTCCTCCTCCTCCTCCTTCTCCTCCTTCTCCTCCTCCTCCTCCTCCTCCTCCTCCTCGTCCTCCTGCAAAAGATGCCCGCCGCAGGCGCCGAAAAAAATGATTTGTACACTGAACGTGGTTTGGGTCGCGGGTGGGCCGCGGGTTCTCCACCTAGAACGACTGCAAAAGATCCCCGCCGCAGGCACCGAAAAATGTGGTTTGTACCCTGAACGTGGTCGCGGGTGGGCCGCGGGTTCTCCACCTAGAACGAATGCAAAAGATGCCCGCCGCAGGCGCCGAAAAATGTGGTTTGTACCCTGAACGTGGTTTGGGTCGCGGGTTGGTCGCGAGTTGGTCGCGGGGTGGGTCGCGGGCTCTCCACCTGTGATTTGTCGCCTCGTCGAGGTTCACTCGAAGAGAGATAACGAGAGAATAAGATGATATCAACAATCAACTTCAACTGTGTAAAATGGGAAGAGTGTGTCTTTCCTCGGGGCAAGGTGCCTGGGGCTCGTTCACGAGCCAAGTCAAACAAAACAGTTCGATATGGAAGCCGCGCACAGAAAGCTCGAGCACTGAATATGAGTACAGAAATCCACATACTAACCTTGGTTAGAGTTCTAGACAAAAACCTGATTTCTACGAGACGGGGGGTTCAGTGCTCCCCTTACTGTAGGTGAAATATCTCAAGACCTGAACTGAGCTTTTGATGAGGCTTGGAAAAATGAGACAGAGCAGAGAAAGAGGAGGTGCAGGCCTGTACAACGGCGGCCATGCTCGAGCGGGTCTGTCGCTGCTCATCCTCGAAGTCACTCTCTGGGTCTTCGTCGCTGTAGCTGGGCACCACAGGAGGTCGATCCTCATCGTCGATGGTGTCCAAGGTGTCCTTTTTTCATGATCTTGCGACGCTTGGATGACGTGAAGCTCGGGTCTTGCACCAAGGCCCACTGCTGCTTGACGTAGAAGTCCAGGGTAACTTGCAGAGCGGGAGCCTCCAACTTCGTGAGTCCGTCGGCTATCATCGCTTCTGAGTGGACCCAGCGTAGCACGGTTGTAGCTGCACTCATGCTCTGACGGAGGGCCAGCGCCTCGATCGCTGACCTCTGGTCGTTACAGCCGTATCCGGACGAGCATGCTCTCACCACGCTGTCATACATGGCCTTGCAGTCGGTCACGAGCGTACCGGACACCGTCCTGATGCACTCGTCGATCTCGTGGACAGGTATCTGTCGTCCGTGTAGCATCTCGTACCAGGCTAGTCGAGCATACTCTTGAGCTTCGTTGGCCATGGTCCCCATTTGAATTTCGGCGCTCAGAGAACTGCGGGCTACCCGAGGTAACTTACGAGAGGCTCCTTGGATCACCGAGACACTGGTAAGATGTCCGTCCAGGATCTTGCGTTCCGCCATCGCCAAAATCATTCCACCGTGAGAGCCTCCTGATTTGCGTACCTTCCATGCTGCATCATGCCACGTGACGAAGACCGGGTCATCCATGGGCTTGAACACGATTGTGATCCACGATGTCTCATGAGCTGTGTGCACTAGCTTATTGATCTTCTTGACGGTCGCCATCGTTCCAGTTGGCACTGCACCGCCCAAGATACTCGTCTCTCCTGCGAGCCATGTCATTCCCTGAGACGCCAGGAACATGGTACTCCCCAGCGCGGCTCGGCACTTGGACTTGAGGCGGTCGGACAGTGGTACCTCGTCCCTCAGCTTCGACTCCTCCTTGGTCAGCTCGATGTACTCGACCTTCTGCACGGCCTTGGCCAGGCTCTGGATGATGGTATAGTCCGCCAGCTGCACGTACTCTGAGCCGCACTGCGTGATGAATCCGGTCTCCCAGGATCCCCAACTGTACAGCTCTTGCACCTGGTACAAGTTCTTCTGGCCTATGGGTGAGCTCGGTATTCCTATCACAAAGTCGTCCACGTGTACGAAGATGACAGTCTCCACCTGACCGTCGCTGTCGTACTTGATCCACAGGCATGGCTCCAAGGTCATAGCCACATATCCCAGCTTCTTCAGGTCGCTGTCCACCTTGTGGTACCACTCTTTTGGGGCGTTCACGAGTCCATATGCAGCCTTTAACATTTTTACGCACTCCTCGTCTGACAACTGCATGGCCTCGCGTAGCTCGGGAACCGGCTCCACCAGCAGGTCGTGCTTGGCTTGAGTTGGATCTCCCTGCAGGAAGGCTGCCTTGACGTCGCCCTTGTAGAGCTTGAGCCGCATGTTGGCCATCATCTGCAGCGCCAAGTTCCGGCCTCGAGACGATACGGCGGGGCTCGACTTGTCGATCACGGCCAGACGCGGGTCCTGGAACCCCAGCAGGATCAGCCTCGCTTTCACTTTGCCGTCGTCCTTCAGAATCAGGTGCCACCTCATCTTCATAGGTTTCACCCCCGCCTTTCGGAGAGCCGCCTGACACACCTCGTTGTGCATCCAGTTGTTCACCTCCACGAGTTTGGCGTTGCCCACCAAGGCCTTCACCTCCGGAGTCGCTTTCCGCAGGTTGATCTCGACCTGGCCCTTCTTGAGTGCTTTCTTCAGCGTCTGCTTCGGCTTCTCGGTGAATGCAGCCAGCGCGTCGCCCTCCATGACGAGCTCGGCCAGGTAGACGTCCCTGTCCTCTGTCATATTGGAGAAGATCTCAGCCACTCCGAGCTCCTCGGTCGTCCGCGCCTTCTTCTCGGGGGGTGCCTCTGGTGGTGTAATCGGTGCTGTCCTGCTGGCCACGCTGCGCTGGATCGATATCGGTACATCATCCAGGAGAGGGTTCTTCTTCACTCGATACTCGGTGGAGGCCGGCCTGTCTGGTGCTGCGGCTGCTGCTGGCGGTGGTGTCGATGATGATGCTCGAGATTCTGGAGTCTCCTCCTGATCGGGCTCTGAGTCGGGGGCCTCCGCGATACGGCGAAGTGCTTCTTCTGCGCTCATGTCCTCATCCTCGGGGGGCTGCTGATCTCCTCCAGGTCCTTCGAAGTCCTCGCTCGAGATCTCATCGACCTCGGGCGCGGCCTCCTCGACCTCGGGCATGGCCTCATCGACCTCGGGCATGGCCTCGTCCTCTGCAGGATCTGCGGGCGCCTCGTTCTCGTCGGCTCTCTCTGGTTCTGGGTCTCCTTCAGGCTCGTCAGCCGAAACCTGACGCTCAGATCGATCATGATCTGCTCCCTCAGGTGGTCTCTGATGGCTTAGATCCCAGTACCTCGCACCGATGTCCATGGCCTCCGTCAGGGGCTGTCTCTCGATGGGCTTCGCTTTCTGAAGGATCTCGTGTAGTGCCTTCTCGTGCTCCGACGCGGGACGAAGCTGCTGAGGCGTGGTCAGTACCAGCTGGTTGTGATGGTACACCAGCACCAGGTTGCGGGGGGTTGCCTCGCCCTTCTCGTGACGGAAGAACTGGTTGACCACGAGGGCCGGTCCGATGAATTCACCCTTGGACTTTTTCAGCTTGTCCTTCCTGCTGCCCGGCTCCACCCAGTAGAAGACGAGCTCTCCCGTCTCCCACGTCCTGAACCTCCTCGTCTTGGACAGCGCAGCCAGTCGAGCCTGTCGGTCTGCGAGAGCCTCGGCAAAAGCCTTACGGGCCTGCATGCGCCTCTTCATCATCAGCTCCGCGCTGGTGCCTTTCTCCGCCTCGGCTTGGAGCTGCACGACTGTGCCCGTCAGCTGGGAGTCTAGTGGACGCAGCTGCCTGCCGAAAATCACCTGGTCGGGCGAGGCCCCGGATACACGGAACATCTCCGCGTGGGCTGCTGCCGCCCAGCTGAACAGCTCTTGGATCGGGCACTCCGGGTCCATGATGGCCATCCTCGTTGCTGCCACCTTGAGCAGGTTGATGGTCACTTCCACTCGCCCGTGCTTCCAGTGTGCCTCAGCGGGTCCGACCTCCCAGTGAATCCCATGCTCTGATGCCGTCTCGTTAAGCTTCTTGGCTCTGTAGGCTCCGGCTGGGTCAGTCCTGACTTGCAGAGGACGACCGAAGTACCGCGCCCAGCAGTTCACGAAAGTGTCCCACACCGTCGCCGACGAGGTCTCGCCCGTGTTCCCTTTGTTTGGCACGGTGGTGTGGATCACTGGCACGGCCTTGGCTGAGCCCTCGTCGACCATCATCGTACCTCGAGCTCT